GCGATTATTGCATAAATAAGATAGCTTATACTTGTCCCAAAAGCAACATGTGGCTAAGAACTCAATGCAAACTTGACAGCATTTAAATGAGGCACCATCAATACCATTCAAGGGTTGCTGGCCTCCCATAGTGTACAGAAAAATAAGTTGCAGCTCAGAGCTGAAGTTTAGATAATCTCATTAATATTGAACTGCAAAATAGTATGAGAAATTTGACTTAGTAAGGCAAAGGCAACTAATTAAACAAACGTATCTGGGGTTCTTGACTCCCAAAAAGTAGAAGATGACTGAAGGTGGATAGAGAAGATGAAAGTATTTCGTATGTTTCTCTTGATTATGCTGTTTTGTATTCCTGACCTGTCTATACTTCTGTTTGGAGAACAGTTCTAGATTTTCCAAGTGTTTGCTGTGCAAAGTTAAGGCTGGAAAAGGAGTCAAATGCAGGGCCTTCTTGAATAGTACTCGTTCTTCTGAAATCTTCAGCAAGAGTTTAGCTGCCAGTTTCTTTTCTGATGTATCTTGTTTGCTGCTTGAAGCAATGAAGGACTTGCCTCTTTTTGCAAAGTTTTTTAATACAGGGGAAATTAGTAACTTTTCTTGCTATTATGAAGCATCGTATGCTTAAAATAGACAACTTACTGTCTGTTCATTATTAATGTAGTAAATTCTAATGGTTGTGTCAAATGTATTGGCATTTGAATCAAGTGCTTGAAATTTATTTAGTGAATTGACTTGATGGATGATAACTGGTGATACATGCTGAGTTGACCTGTGTGGTGATAGGGAAGGAGTGTAAATTGAAAGTGCTCCTGTTTTGGAGATGCTGACCTCTTGGTCCTGTTGTGAGGGTACAGTAGCACTTGGACTACCCGTGGCTCAGAGTATGCTTTGTGACTCCACTGTATTTGATTTTGATGTCCATGCCATGAATTAAGGAACATGTGGAATTTTTGACAATGGCCCTCTTGGTTATATGGATGAGGGGCTAGAGATAGTGTGCTCTTAATATTCAATCTTGTGCTCTGTTTTGCAGAGCAGCAGTAGCCTGCAAGCAGATACTGCATACAATGAACTTAGGAACTCCAAAGTAAAATATGAATGAACATCTTGTCTTGCTGTGCTGTTCATACAGACTTTGGTCATAGAAGGTGATTTAAGGTGCAGGGATCTAGCCCTTGGTGGAGCACTGCAGAAGGCAGTTAAACCTTGCAAATGTATGTTAAAAGGCTGTGTCGTGGGTTGTCAAGGATAATGGCTTGCACAGCACAGGCAAGCTGCCAATAGCCTGGTGGCTGCCACAGGCTGGTGTGCAAGTGCAACTGCAGGACATAATTGTTAAGTAAATGAAATGCTTCCTATGCTCTTCCTCTTTTAAAGATAGATGCTAATCCCTTGAAATGTTACTGACCAATCAGGTGTTAGATGCTGTACATAGGTAGAATGAGATGCACTTGAAGTGAATTCCTTGTTAACTGTGATCATACAACCCAGCAGCACTGCTGTACCCCGGTTTTAATGCAAGACAGCAGGGTTCTAAAACTTATAAGAAAGCTTATGTTGTATTAGTAGCAATCCTGTGCCTTGTCTTAAACATATTGGAGGTATTGATAACATGATAGAACAGATTGTGACCCTCTCAATTTGAATGGAATTCTTGCAAAGTCAGGTTCTAGCTAGGTGCTTGTAATAGTGTTCTTAGCAATCACATTAATTATCCATGATCATGCTGTGTAGAGGAAAATTGTGCCCAATACGTAATTTCCTTCAAATGTATGACTATATCATCGTCAGCTGGTAATGTGGGTTTTTAATTGTAGGTGGAGAAAAATCTTGCCTACTTGTCTCCCTGCTAGTTTCCTTTGTCTGCTAAAATTGGATCTTGACATATCTGCTTCATTGGAAAAAACTACTGAACTGACAGTTGAAGAAATACAGGTGGATGTGAAAGTTACGTGCCTCAGGCAAATGATAGCTTAATTTGCTCTTTCATGAGTGAATAGGTCTGTCTTGCAGGAATGTATATTTATCTACTATCTTTGGTAGTAGATTGAGGCAAGATAATTCATCTTCATTCATTAAATCAATGTGAGAATGTATTCAGAATAGGCTGGCATGTCATCTGTTGTACTCAGGGTGGTTTGACTCGTAGTGGAATAATGTTGATCATAGTACAGCTGGGCTCTGATGTTAATGCATGCAACTTATCTCAGTGAATTTAGCAATTTGTCACATAAGTGGTAAGATAGAGGCCTGTGTCAAAGGCACACCAGAGAAATTTTGCATCCTCGTGAAGCTTATGCTTCTACTTCACCTGTGGAGACTGACATCAGAACAATTGTGAGCAACAACACAGCACCTGTGGCTGAGGTTTTCCAGAAGCTTTCACCTGCTAGGCAGGTATATGGAAGCCTGGGCTTTACCAGAAGACTGAGTACAAAAATGTTTTGTCCTTTACAGAGGGATTTTAGGGAAGCCTACACTTCTGGACCAAACTGTGCAGCACCTAAGGAGGGTAAATAATCCTATAAGTACTTAAATCTGTTTTTCTATGATAAGCTAAGTGATGATAAGTTCAAGGACTGCTGAAAGTTGGAAACAAGGGTCACAAGGTGATGTCTGGATGATCTTTTCTTTTGCAGTATAGTGACTTTCCTTCCTAAGGATTTTGCTTAAAAAGTTGCATCTTCAGGCATGAGATGGGCCTATATGAGGCTTAGGGACAGGAAAATGACATCTTTTCACAGGTCAAGATGCATCTTCTACAGGATTCACAGCAGTGTTGAAACTGCCTGAAATGTCTTGACCAGACTCAAATGTTCCATCTGTTCCTGCATGTTCCATTTTACTGGGGTCATAGATAATCTTATTGGCTGAAATCACATGGAGTAATTCCTGCAAAGTTTGAGGTTTTATCACTTGTTTTTTTTCTATAGAATGGTAGAAAATGACCATAACTCATCCTCTGATGTGGGTTGATATCTTTGAGTACCTGTAACTTAAAAGTTAATCATGATGTCCTATTCTCAACTTCATAGAATAACCTGAGTTGAAAGGAACCCATGAAGGTCACTGAGATCACCCAAAATTCAAACCCTATGTCTGAGAGTGTTGTTCAAGTGCTGCTTGAACTCTCACAGCTTGGGGCTGTGACCGCTGATGTGGGCAGCCTATTCCAGTGCCCAGTCATCCTCTGAAGAACCTTTTCCTGAAATCGAAATCCTGACCTTCCAGCTGTCACAGCTCCATACTGTTCTCTTGGGTCCTATTGCAGTCATCAGAGATAAGACATCAGTGCTCTTTGAGCAACATCAGAAGCTGAAAGTAGTAGGGAAGGAAGCCAAATACCTGGGGAGATGTGCTTTGCTTTTCCAGGAAGACTGCAGTTAAGGCTGCCTGGCAACTTTAATTTGGCCAATTTTGTATATGAAGCATCAACAGATATCCAAATACTATCTGATTTCTGCCATAAGCCCCTACTTCTGTTATGATACAGAATGAACTTTCTCTGTGCCTTTGTCAAGGGAAGACAGCTGCAAGGACCTTTGTTTCAGTGGCCTGAATACAGATTACCCACCTGACATATGTCTGCTGGAGACATGAGGATCTGACCCTCAGAAGTGATGAATTTTCAAAGCTGAGGCTGAAGTCAATGGGAGCTCTCTTAATTAGACTATATCGTAATATGCATACACAGTGCTTGCTTTTGTGATTCTATACATCTTGCTAGTTTTCTGAAAGCACACCAGATGGCCTCAATTGCATTATTTTGATGTGTGGCTTTTGGTCAAGCTGAACTTCCTTGTGGCTGTACCAGCTGCTCATCCAGCTCCTGCTTGGAAATATGTTGTCCATGTTATGGCTTCACCTTGGGAGAGATGGAGCTTTGGCTTGGCTGAAGGCTTGCAGAGGAGCTTATTTGACAGCGGGGAAAGGGTGACCTGATATCTTGTTTCAGACCCAGACCCTAAAAGGATATATTTTTCCTGTGGTCCGCTGTTTGACTCCTGGTGTGGTCACACCAGATGACATGGCCAAGCTCTTGTGTGTCCTTGCCAGCCCTTTTGCTTGCTGGTTGGTCCTGTCCTTGCTGACAGGCAGCTACTCTAACATCATGTGCTGCTGCATGGAGGTTCCTTAGTTCAAGTCCAGCTGATCTGCCAGTTTTGCACTGTGACTTGAAACTATTTTCAGCCTGTAATTACTACAATGAAAATACCGAAGAAATTGATTCCTTATATTCCTCACATTATATTACTCTGGATTTCTGTCTAAGTGCCAAGGGGTTAAATATGATTCATGTAATCTACTTTCTCACTAATCATTTATTCAATTACCTATTAGAACTTGAGCAAGAAAGACCAAAAAAGGAAAGAGGAGGCCAACCCACAGTGTATGTTCAATAAAATGCTACAATCAACATCCAATCATTAATTATCTAATCAACATTCTCTAAGTATTTTAGCCATAATCTCATTACTATAATTAATTGCAAGAATCATTTTGTAAACAGCACAATAAAAGTATATGCAACATAACAGCACCGAAATTAAATCTAAATCCCAGAATGAATAACAGAGAAATCTGGAAGATATTACTAAGAGGGTGTCATTAAATAAGATCATATTTCAATGTCAAAATCTGGTGGGCTATTTGTGCTATGGGAGTAAATCAATAGTGTTGCATTGGAAAGACTGGGCCAAATCCACTTTGGTGCAATTAATCACAACTCCATTAAAACTCTGAGGGATGGAGGAGAATTAGTAAAAAAAAAAAAAAAAAATAAAAAAGAATCTTGTAGTTAGTGGGACTGGCAGAGCTTCTCCAGTAAGCTAACTTTTTATGTCTAATAGTTAAGGTTGTCCAAGTGCCTAATGGTATAGGAGAGCTAGTCCTTTTGCTCTTAATGGTGAAGTTGTGCTTGACTTTTGCATGTTGTTGAACATCATTGTTTTTGCAGTCCTGCTCTTATGGTAGTGATAGTTCTGCTTTGCTTTTTTCCAGCTGCTTCTAGAATAAATAATCAAATGATGCAGACAGATCCCCACAGATACCTGCTGGGCTTACAGCAAAGGTATTTTATGACTATCAGGATTCTACATCTAATATTCTAGCAGCACAATGGTACTGTCTTTGTTCTTACCAGCCATTTGACTGTGGCAAGTATTTTGTCATATTTTTCCCTCTTTTCATTTATTTTTTCATTATTTTTATAAGAATCAACGCCAGGATTCATTTAAAAGCTATAACACAATATATAAAAGAGCCCCAACAACCATAGCGTTCGTTGTGTCATTGATTCTTTCTGAGAAGAATTCCCTGCTGACTGCAGTAGGGAGTTGCTCAAAGATATTGGTAGTGTGTGTTCCTGTCCCTCTATAGAGGACTTAAATTAAAAACACAATACCTTTTAGTCAGAAAGGTCTGTGTGGAATGCATTAGCTTGAGGAAAAGAACAGGATGGTATAAAAATACACACACACTGTATGGGAATTGTTGAATCATGGCCTGAATCTCTGTTTGATCATCTGATGTGAGCACTGAGTCAGCCCTGGGAGCACAGGTGAAGGCAATTCAGCTGTGTGACCGGAAGGGGTGGAGCCTGACTGCACCTCTCCTAGACCCCATTTAAGGGCTGACTGCCACTGAGGAAGGATCTCTATCAGGAGATCGCTCCTCATGGAGTGTTTTGTGAGCTTACATCACTGGTGAGCACTTCTCATGTATCTCTGATTATCTTTTCCAATGTGATAATCTTACCAGCCTAACTTCTCTGTGTACTTATTGATCATACAATACTATACAATGTCTGTATGCTTATTGATCTTACACACACATACTCTCACAAGTGGGCAGACTCTAAACAACCAACTAGAGAAAAATGAATGTTCAGATGGGTGCTGTAACATAAATGCTTTCCACCTCTTCCTTCTGAAACTGGCAGAGTACTGGCTAACCAGAGCTCCTTGGGGGTGATGCCAAAAGAAGTACATCTGGTAGCCAGTATGGGGAAGCTCTTATGCTTGGTGCTAAAAGCAGCATTTAGTCTACTTGAATTCACTGACAAAGGTCCAGATTTTTAAAGGAAGACTTCCAAGCCTGATCTTGCCTTGTAGTTGGCGTGGTACTGTGCCAGTATGGGTCAGGACGTGCACTGGAAGGCTTGCTATGACATTTAATGTATTCATCAAGTTCCTGAATCCAGAGCATCCTTTAAATTCTCTGTCAAAGGAAACTCTATAGAGGAAATGCAGAATGCCTTGTTAATTCAGTTTTTAATGATGAATACCCTGTGGCTTTCTCTTTGATAATCACAGTTTGCCTCCATGAGTAGGTCATACCTTTTTTAGCTCACTATGCCCCTTAATAAGACTGCAAATGCCTCCAGGTAAAACTGAATGTTAGCCAATTCTGTAGATGAGAAGAAGGATCTAGAATACAAAAATGGAGCTCTGGTCAGTGCCTGTTTTGCAGGTATACCAAATGTGGAAATGCAACTGAGCCAGAGAACTGCAATTTGTTGTGACTGAGAGTTGTTTTAAGTCACTGACTAATTTTTTTAAAAAAGATCTAAATGTTCTTCAAGTATTTTTGTCTTGGAAGGACAATTCTGATGTTTTATAGAGTCAGCCTCATGTTTAAATTAATTTGTCTTCAACAATGCCCTACTACATTCAGCAAGTATATTTAAATACCAGGATTAAATTAAACTATTTTTCTTTCTAGTAAAAAATAAAGTGCTCTAGCTATATGAATTAATAACTTCCAAAGTAATAAATATTAACTTATTCTAAGACACTTGCATAATATTTTTCTGGTTTTGGACCATTAGATGATTTTTACATGTATTTGTTATGCTGCAGAGATGGCATGGAGGTGCCTACAGCTGTTGGACTGTCACTCAATCTATACTACACCTCATTGTGCCCAGGAGGGGTACATCTATGTCTCAGGCTGTGTGAGGATGCCAAGACTCTTCACAGGACCAAGGCATTGCTCCACTTCTACTGAGTCCTTGGTAAGTAAGGCTGAGAGGGGAAAGACTTTCTGCCAGGGAAGCTTTGGTATGTGCAGAAGCTCTTCAGTCACTTCCAGAGTTTTGTTGGAGTGGGCACCTGTGCCCTGCTGTGCGTACCAGGGCACTCAGTTTTGAAGGAGAGAGAATGCTCTTCCTGTGGGCCATTTGCTGGCTTGGAGTATGTGGTCTGGAAAGCATCCATTGTTATATTAAACTGCTTGCTTCTCTGCAGAGTGTGGCATTAAGTGATTTTTAAGGTTTGGGTGTTTAGGAAGGTTTTGGAAAACATTAGCTGTCATAAAATGCAGTGTTTTGTATTGGAGATGGGTATTACCTTCCAGGTAGCAGTAATAGCTATTTTTTCCCTCAATGAATTAGATGGCACTTTCCATTGGCTTTAATCCTGACCCTCAAAGAATAGATTTTACCATCTGCATAATAACTGAATTTGGGAAATAAGCTTTGGAGGGAATAGTAGATGCATCATCTGTCCACGCGGGATTATTAAACTGAAACAGCTACGTGGTATTTTGTCAGTTGGCTCCCATCTTCAATTTGAAATCCAGACAGCTCAGTTTCTCCATTTACAGCTTTGAATATACTCAGGGAACTAATAAACTGAAATGACAGATGCAGAGGGATTACAGGATATCAAGCAATATTTTCCAAATGGGGTAACAACTGCTATGAAAAAACATTCTGTTGTAATAATGAAAGTTATCTTTTTACATCTTGTGCTTGCTGGACTTGAATCACCAAAGAGATGAGAATTTCTCCTGCAGATAAAACACTCAGTAAACCTGCTGTGGGGTGTTTGCCAGTAGTTTTCACTCTGGATAACAAATGTAAATAAGCACTTTGCTATTGCATTGGGAAATAATGGCTATAACACCTTGCTGCTTAGTCAGACTTAAATCTTTTGCCTCTCTGGAACTTTACCCTTTTACTGTAGCTGTATGAAACTAATGAGGTTTTGGTCAGTCTTTGAGGCACTCTGGGGCTGCGATGGAGTTGCTGAATTGTCTGTCTGTACTCTTTCACAGGTCTCTCTGAAGCATGGGCTGCAATTGGAGAACAATTGGGTGTGTAGAGTAGTTGCTTCAGAAGCCCCCATGGGATTTAGGACTCAGGAACCCCTGCTGCAAACAAATAAAGGCTGAGGTTTGGGCCATCTGAGAAGAGTTCTTGTAAGTCAGAGGGGCTGCAGAAGTCATTTAGCAGTAGCCCTATGGCAAGTCTGTGCAGAGGAAAAGCATTTTAGCACTGAATTATTTGGGGGTGTAAGTACTTTAAATTTGCACCAGAAGCCTTTCCTTCTAAGCATTTTAATCTTAGAGCAATGCTAATCTTAAGATCTCAAAACAAGAATACTGCTTTACTTTCATTTGCTATTTGAAAAGCATTGCTACTTGAAGAAAAACTTTCAGGCATAATTTTAAGTACTTAACAGCATTGTGTTAATAGTCATTATGAAGAAAGATGACCCCCAAATACATCATGTATTTTCCTCAGTGTCTGATTCTCAGCCAGTGACAAATTATAATACAGTTTTAGTAATACTGCATAAAGGAATTCAGGAGCACTTGACAGAATACACACAAAATTGTATGGTTATATGTGATGTGTAATATAGCACAGAATTTTGAGTCTCATAGATGCTGTGACTCCTTTCTTCAAGATTTACTTGTCTGGCAGTTTTGAAGCTGTGTTTATCTCTGTGTAATGGCTGCAGGTGTCTCTGTCAAAGAGGAAGGTGAATAGGCTCTAGAATCAGCTTGGACAATTTGCATGTGTTTCTGGTATGTATGGTGTGTTCTCCCACAGTTTTCAGGATGATTGTGTCTATTTATCTTTCTCCAGAGAAAATATCCATCTTTTGGATGGAGAGAAACTGTGTTCATGCAGCAGAAATAATAGGCAGGCAAAGCTGTGACTTGCAAGTGGTTTTTGCAGTGTAATTGATTTCCAAATACTTGGTCATTATTTAGGAATCTGTGGGTATTTTCTTGTCTCTGATTCAGATTGTTTCACCTTCTGTGAGTATTCTGCTTATGCAAGTAACATGGAAAGAAATTCAGGGCTTTCCTCAGGTATCTGAGCTCCACTTGCTGCAGTCATGTGTGCCAATCATAGTCTTGCCTGCATCTGAATTGACCAATTGAGCATCAGAGGTAGAGGTGGGGCAGCTGGGACCTCTATCATACTGTTCAGGTAGTGTATATTGTGTGCTTGAAGTGCCATTTTGTATGGAGATGTGCAAATGCTCTGTTACCTTGGTCTTATATTAGGCTTTTTAACAAATGAGTGAACTGTAGTCTTGCTATTCTGCCGTAAGTGTCATTCACTCATTTAAGAGTCAAATTTAGAGACCTGTTTAGTTCCCAGAATAAAAAGAAATAGTTTGCCCTGCAGTAGTGGATATATAATATTCTCTTTAACTTGTCTCTATTCTTCTTGAGGATGTTTTTCTGGAGAAAATCCCCTCTTAAGAGATTCATAAGCTAAAGCATTTTAGATTTTCTTTTGAGTTTCAATCTTATCTGGGGATAGCATTTTAGACTTGGTCACAGGTGTGATGTGTGGATGGTGAGTATCTTAGTTGAGATGAAGACATAACTGAACATATCACTGCTGTCCTTTGTTTCTGTCCCATCCTATTTAGCTTTCTACACATATGGACATGCAGTGTTGGTACAAGATCACAAGACATGCTTACTGAGCTTTGGTCCACACTGTTGAGGGTGAAATGGCTGCCTACTCAGCTGATGAATAATGGGATTCTTAGAATCTCTGACAAACACTGAACAGTTGGTGGTGGGAGAAGTGGCTTTTTGTTTCCAAACAGCTAGAAAAATTTGAAGGTTAGTGTATTGTGCCTTGGACATTGCTCTTGAACTCTTAAAGCTGAGATGTGTTGTGGTTCGTGAGTCATAATCTTCCCAGAGACTGGTGACAAGAGGACTACAAGGGAATCTGTACAGGAACGTGTGCTGCTGAACTCCTCTATCTATCCTTTGGAAAAGGGGGTGGAACATGCTGGCAGCAGATTTGACCTCAAGTTGGTGGGATGAATAATAAAGCCCAAGCGCAAGGCTGCCATGCAGTGGGCCCAAGGCACTTTGGATTGGTTGCCGAGGACCTTATGTAATTCAGCAAGCATGAATGCCAAGTCCTGTCTAGCAGAGCATGAGTCAGTACAATGTGAGCATGGCTAGATTTTTGTACAGCAAGGTTTCAAGTTGTTCATAGTAATTATCTCAAATTCATAGGGCAATAATAAGAGCAGTGCATGACCTCTAAGGGAGCAGCCAGAAAGGGCCTCAGGGTTCTAGGTGTTATCCAGTCTTGTGCTCTGGCAGTGGAAAGAGGCTGCTGACATCCTGGGCTGTTTAAGAGCACTGGCAGCAAGTGGGAAGAGCTGACAGCCTCCTCTCCTCCCTGCCTGATGAGCTGTGGAACCTCCTGGGAGGAGGTTATTAGGGGCTTCCCTCTTTTTTGAAAACTACTTGATATTTTGCTGTGATGAATATGTGCTCCAGAGGCACTCAACCCTGGAGGAAATTACCCCCAGGTCAGTCCTCTGACTTGTTTCTGCTGCAGACCTTAAATTAATCCTTTCTGGGGTGCATACAACAAACTGGGGAACTGGTATTTTATTGCACTTGTGGCCAGTATTTGAATTTCTGTTTTCTAATTTGGGTATCTCTTCTCAAACACTGCCAGTGTAAAGTTAAAGCTGTCTCTGCCTTTGGTTTTAATCTGTACTTGCAATAAAGCTTTTAAGAGCATAGTGTCATTGAATCTGGTGACCACTCAGACATCTCTATCCATCACTTTTCTTTAGAAGCATGGCACAGAATCTGTTATACAATGCATATAACGAATATAGACCAATTTCAGCTCTGCTACAGCAATATTTTTCTTAAACAAGATCCGTAGCCTGTTAATGTTAAATACTAAATGCAAATATGAGAAAAATCTGCTTTTTATAGAGAAGATTATTGATTTCTTGGCTTTAAATATTAGGTAAGACTAATTTCTCACACATGAATTTGAAGTTTTTGTATTGCAGAGAAGCTTGCAATCCTTAACACCCTCTCCATTCCCTGCAAACATTTAGAACAGCTATTTTCTCTTTCAGATGACAATTTTCATTTCAAGCAGGCTACAAGAGGTCATTTAGCTAATTTATGTGGAGATGAGGGAGGGCTGGTTGCACAGGCTTGAGAAATCAGGGAGATATGTAGCAAATAAGACTGCAAAAATAGTTGATGAAGTGCCATTGCTGTCAGCATTTGCAACTGTAGATTAAGGTGTTCACATCCTAATTTAGCCTTCTGCTTGAGGCACACCATTAACCTTCTGACAGCTAGCAAAGTGCATGCACTGTGGATCACCTGATCATTTTTTCCCCAAAATGTTGACTGTTTAAGTGCTGCAGAAGTGTTAAGGCTTTCTGGCCAAAGGCTCCAGTTCTAATTTTAAACTAAACTGATTACATGAAGACAGAGCTAATGCTATTAAAAGGGACAGTGTGTTGTCTGTGAAATACAGACAACATTCTCAACTATTGTCACACACATCAGCAGCTTGGCTTCTTCTCTCCAAGCTGCATTTCAGCAAACTCCAGAATAATAAAAATTCAGACCATGTTATCTTCTATGACTAATTCTCCTGCTTATGCTGTGTTATTCCAGGAACTGTGCTCTGCCAATGCCAACACTTGGCACAGATCTTGCTCCAACTCTTGCCCCTCTTTTAAGCACATTTTAACTATCACACATGGGAGATCATGGTGTGTGGGATATTTGTTTTTCTGTGACAATTCTGTGTTGACTTTGATATTTGATAGAGCTCTTGTTATAAACCTCACTTGCATTCATCTTGATATGGGGTGAATAATAATGGAATGCTTTTCTAATGCTGTTCATCAGTATGGTTTACACAGGCTCCCTGATATGTTTTATTTAAATAGTTCATATCCAGCCAGTAAAATGTTT